GTGGAATCAGCCCTAAGAGGAAGGGGGATATGATTTTGCTTGAGGCCTTTTTTTATTTTATTTTTTATGGGTGAAATGGATTTGGGATAATTCTTGCAAGGAATCTTTTGAATTAATCAAAAATAAATTATTAACAAATAATGTTTTTGTTTATTTTCAGCCTGAGTTGCCGATTAAATTAATCGTAGATGCTTCAAATGTGGGAATAAGGCCCATGATATGTCATGTTTTTGAAAAAAATATTGAGAAACCTATTGCTTCTGCTTCGCGTACCTTATCAAAGTCCGAACAAAAATATTTCCAAATTGAAAGAGAGGGCCTTGCAATAATTTTTGGCCTAAATAAATTTAATGAATATTTATATGGACATTTGTTTATCCTAGTTACAGATCACTTACCTCTGGTAACTATTTTTAACCCAGCTAAAGGTATACCCCAATTTTCAGCCAACAGACTACGTAGATGGGCAGTAATATTGTCCAATTACAATTATAAAATTGAATATGTGGAATCGGAGCATAATATAAAGGCGATTCTTTATCACGGTTACCTATTGAAAGTCAAAATGAAGAAAAATTTTAAAAATATTTTTTAAATTATGTGTATTATTTGTTTAGGGCTTTGTCAAATATTTCGCTTTACAAGAAGGTTTCGTTGCCAAAAAAGTTTGAGAAACACTGCTCTATAATAATATGGGATCTATCCATTTAATTTACATTTTATTTTCTCTAATTTTAACATATAAAGTAATATATTTTGTAATCGCAGCAAATGTCAGAACGTTCTACTTTATGCAACCAGTTGCATAAAGTAGAACATTGTGCAACTGATTACGAAAAGTTGATTATATCACCAGTTACGAAATGAAAATAAATTAAGATGTCTCTTTTTGGTTTTTTAGTCGAAAAATCGAGTAATCGAAAAATCGAGAAATCCAAAAATCTAAAAAACGAAAAACAAGGCAATGAATAGTAACATTTTGATGATGGTGGGTGAGGTTTTCCAGGTTTTCCTTACCTGTAAGTTAAATGGCACCATCAATCATCTTTAAGTCGCCCTGTAGCGCCACGGTAAATAATAATAATAATAATAATAATAATAATAATAATAATAATAATAATAATAATAATAATAATAATAATAATAATAATAATAATAATAGCTGTCCCTTTCCCCACACAAGCTCAGCTTTTGGGGTTAAAATTCACTCGTAAGGGGGTGAATTAGGGAGAGTATTATTATTATTATTTCACATTTGAAAATTTGACAATTGTTAGTTTTTCAATAGCTATATATTATGTTTGCATAAAATATTATTTGTTCAGTTAATAAAAACAGAAGTATCTTGTCTTTTATTTAAAAGAAGTAGGTTAGGTTAGATTGAAAATGAGTGGGATGATCTCATCGCCTTCCACTGTGACCCAGATGCGTCTATTGTGGCTCATGACTAACTTAGAGTTCACCATACAAGCCACACCTTTTGATAAAGGTCATGGTGGAATTGGGTAAGACTTCTTTAAAGTCGGTAGGCTCCAGTCGGATAAATCCGAAGATCTGGAACCTGGTTCTTTCCAGAGCAGAGCAGGTACATAAAATGTGCTCTGCGGACTCGTCCTCCACGCTGCAGAATCGACAGTCCGATGTTTGCAGACCTATCCTTCTCATGTGTTTGCCCAGACGGCAGTGTCCTGTCATCAGTCCGGTGAAAATGCGTATATCTCTCCTACTCCATTCTCGGATCTGAGCAGAGGCGTTCATGGAAGGGTTGGTTATAAACGCCTTTGAATGGGTTAGCCCTGGGGTATCTCTCCAGTTCGTGAGTGTTGCACCCTCCGTATATTTTGAGATAATTCCTTTGGCAGTGCTTTTTGCAATGCCCAGGAATAGTTCTGGCCCTATGAACACAGATTCGGTTCCTCTTTTAGCAAGTGCCTCGGCTTTTTCGTTGACCTCCACACCACTGTGTCCCGGAACCCAGATCAAAGTAACTTTGTTCCGGGCAGCGAGACACTCTAGGGTATTTATACAGTTCCAAACCAGCTTTGAGTCAACTCGATTGGAGCTCAGGGCCTTACCCAGACAGCACACCAAATCCTTTGGATATCTACTGAACATCCCAATATCCACTGAATATCCAGTCCATGGTAGATATCTATTTTATATCCATGAAATGTAATTTATAGACATGCAAAAAATAATAGTAATTATATAGCAAATTATTAAAAAATTACGCAATTGTGGCTAATAGTACCGTTCAGATATTTAAAATTATTTTTTTAAGGTGTATTCAATATCCCATGAACATCCACTAAATATATCAAAGTCTAGGCGCGAACGCAAACCATCGTGGATATCCACTAGATGTTATTTGATTCTGCTTACTAAGTATAGATGGCGATACCACTATCGCATCTACTCATGCTCGACCCGCCGTAATTGAGTTCGATCGAAATGTGTGTCCTAATCACTCCATTAGAGACTGGAGTCGAAAATTTTAATTTATTGCTGAAGAGTCCTAATAAGGATGACTTTCTCCTTAGTGGGCAAAATCAAAGGCAGAGTGTTGAAAACATTTTGAGTGTTGAAAATATTTTTTCTCTGCTATTTTCTTTCGACGTTATTCAATAATCATTGGTTACTTATGAACCTCTACTAAAGATACCCATAAAATATTTTGCTGAATATCCGAATATCTTCTACATCCTGGGATATAGACGGACATTTGGTTGGATATCCATATTGGACATATTGAATATCCACAAAATATATTTTGTGGATATCTCTGTGATTTCTTGTATTTTCTGGAAGATACCCATTAGAAATTTTGCTGAATATCCATTAGGATATCTTCTATATCCTGGATATAGACGGACATTTGGATATCCATATTAGATCCACGGAATATTTCTGATATCCTGTGGATATATTGGATATCCATAAAAGATATTCTGCGGATATCTCTGGGATTTGGTGTGTTGTCTGGGTAAGGGCTGCCTGGAAAAGATCTTTTTAGTCTTGTTTGCGGGGAGAAAATTGATCAACTCTCTCGCTCCCAATTCTATAGTAATCATTTCTGCTTGGAAGATCGTGGCCAGAGAGCCTAGGTTTATTGATATGTCAACTCTAGGCCTCTGGCCGAAAACTCCCGCTCCTTTTTTAGTTTTGGAGCCGTCCGTGTACAACGCATAGTCTGCCTGGAAGAGAATTTTTCCCCTTTGCTCCATGCGTCTCTCTCTGGAAATATGTAAATGATTCAAAATATAATTACCTACCTCAAAAAAAGATTAATAAAACCAGTTAGTCATATACAAATTTTCTATATATTTATAGGTACTCTTTAAATAACTTTCAACATTCGAAATCTGTGGCTTTTATTAAACTCAATGTAACGAATAATAATAGGTATTCACAAAAATTTTTAAAAATAAAATCGAGACGGGACTATTGAATGATACAGTGACTATTTGCCTATAGTTGATGCGTTGCTGTATATCCCTGTTTGCTATATTAGAACAATACTGCTTCTGCGATCGGCCAGTATTTTTTTGCATCTCACAAGATTATATTTACTAAAAAATAAAATAAATTCTTTCGGATCTATTGCTGTGTCCTTTTTCAATATTCCCAAAGCTTCTTCTTTTTTTATTTGCTGATTGGATCTCCCATAGCGACAACTGCATTTGTTGTTTTCACTACATTTTTATCAAACTTTTAAAATAACTTCTACATATTTATCTTTTGCAAAAACTTTACCTACCTGCTTCATAATCTTTTGTTCCCTATGCCACAATTTTTCTAAAAATACCTTATTACCTTTATAAGTGTAAGAATAATTATAAAGTTTTAATAACAGTTGAGTTTTTATTGTCATATAATAATATAAATGGATGACCTGTTAACAATCAAATCCTTTTAAATAGTACATTTGACATTGAATGTAGGTACTATCTTCATTGCACAACAGGAACAGAAGGTTTACTTGTAAATTTAATTTAAGGAGATCCTTTCGCCACCCCTTTCGCCACCAATGTTAAATAAAAAATATTAGATTATGACTAAAAATTTGTTTTTTTTTTAAAGTCCTTAATTATCTAATGTTGAACTTTTAACTATACCTTACCGTGCAAATTTTTGAGAATTTTTTTTTAAATGTGAGTATTTGTACAGTACGAGAAAATAAGACCTCAACAACAATTCTCGAATTATATTATTATTTATTGATTAGATGGAGTAGAAAAAAAACTAAAAATAGGGTTTTTGAAATATTTAGGGTTTGTCTTTTACAATAAAATAGGTTACCTTGGAATTTATTGAGAAATTAATATAAAAAAAAAATTGAAGTAACCTAGTTGTAAAAACAAAACCTAAATATTTCAAAAACCTTATTTTTAGTTTTTTTCTACTCCATCTAATCAATAAATAATAGTAAAATTAATTATAATTCGAAAATTGTAGTTGAAGTGTTACTTTCTCGTAAGACACTGTACAAACACACACATTTTAAAAAAAAATTCTCAAAAATTTGCACGGTAAGGTATAGTTAAAAGTTCACTATTAGATAAATAAGGACTTCTACTATTAGAAAAAAATTAATTTTAGTCATAATCTAATATTTTTTATTTAACATTGGTGGCGAAAGGACCTCCTTAATTACATAATTCTCACTGAATTTCTCTATAACTCTCATAGCAATATGTACACAGAACACTTATCCAATATGTATAACATATCTAATAGGTGTGTTAAAGTTTTGTTTCAAATTTTAAATTAGGAATTGTGCATCTCACTCGCTTATAACCAATAACAAAGTGCAGATTCTCGATGTTCGCGTATTAACAGAACACACAAACTAAAAATCAGTGTAGCCAAAACATAATCTACCTAGTATGGCTGCCAACTTGAATGGGGTTATTTTTGTATTGACAGCATACGTCAAGCGGTATATAGGCTTTCTGAGAGCTATGGTCAGGCAAGATATTTCTTGTTCTATATTAACTTACCAGTTTCCAGAAAAATAAAAGTCCCTACAACAAAAGTAACAAGAAATGATGTCAATGCGCTTGTAAAAAATCCATAGGCAATCTGACCAACAATTAATGTATAGTGACTGGAAGTGTAAACATCATGGTATCTGTCATATTCATTTATTAAAATAGACTCCGCTTTAAATGCTCTAATTGTTGTCAAGCCTTGGAAAGTAGATTTCAAGTGGCCTAGTATTGGACTTCGAGCTAAAAAATACAATCACATCAAAATCGCTTTCAATTAGGGTAGTTTCGCTTTAATAGAATAAAGACGATGAATAATAAACACAAACTTTCTAAAACTTCAAATTCTTTATGATGAAATGATGAAGCAACATACTGGAAAACAAAACAAAAATACAAAAATCGTAAGAAAAGTCGTGGATAAAGTCATGGTCATGAGTTTATTAGACCTGCAGAAGAGACCTACCTTGATATGATTTTAAATTTTAACATACTTTACAGAGCTTACTATCATGCAGTCTGTTCGGCAGGCATCTTGTTTTAAATAATTATTTAATGGCAATATATTAAATGTCATAATTTGAATTAATTGTTAATATAAATTAGTTTTCTAATGAAATAACTGTCGATGTCAATTAATTGGCTAATAAATTAACTCAGTACAAAGTATCTGTAATATGAATTAAGTGTCATAATATGAATAAACTATCATAATATGAATTAATTGTATTAATTTGAATTTTACTGTCATAATATACATTAACTGTCAATATGAATTAACTGTCATAATATTTACTATCGAACTCTTAACGGTCAATACACTAATAATTAATTATCAAGTTTTTTAACACCTTATATATCATGAAAGTGAAGATTATTAATTATTTTTCACGCGATTTGTAATAAAAAAAGGGATATTTTGTAAATCTCTGTAGAATCTTCCATTTCCGAGATTTTTCAGTTTTAGTCCTACCCAAACATGAAATCTATGTACAGTTTTATTAAGGGCCGATTTCAGAATAAATATTAAAGAGCCCATTAATTAATGGAACCAAGATCTTAGGGACTTAATAATTTCATAAGCTACTGAACCTTTAAGTATTGATTATGATATCGGTTCTTAGTATAAATTTTAATTTTTGGAATTTCATAATGTACATAGATTTCGTGATTGTGTATAAGACTAAAACTGAAAAATCTCGAAAATGTGAAAAACATTCCCTTGTGAAATATAAAGAAAGATGGGAGAAAACAAGAACCTGTAGACTTGCCAGGGAGCTTTTAAGTTATTCTGACAACACTACAGTTATAAAATTCTTGTCTATGACTAGACATAATCTGCGCCTGAACACAGGCATTCTGACTGGTAATCGCCAAGTACGGAAGCATCTCCATATCATGGGGCTGGCAGAATCCGCACTCTGCAGGTAGTGCGAACAAGAAGAGACCATCAAACATATCCTCTACGATCGCCTGACGCTCTTATTTATTAGAAGATTTGTATTAGGTGACAATTGTCTAAGACCGACCGATATAAGAGAAACACCTCTTGGCGACGTTGTCAACTACACTAAATCTGTAGGCTGGATCACGTGTCTATCTACTAGGAGGAGGAACTATGAGCCTAGTGAGGCCTAAGTGCTGTAGGTTAACTCACCCTCCACACGGTACAGATACAGAACTGTCAATGTTATATAACTGTCAATACAAATTAACTGTCAATATGAATAAACTGTTACTTAATATGATTTAACTGTTAAGATAAATTGACGGTCAAATATGAACTATCAATATGAATTAATGGTCAATACATATTAGGTGTCAATTTGAATTAATTGTCAAAATGAATTAACAGTCAATAGGAATTAGGTGTCAACATGAGTTAACTGTCAAATAAAATTAACTGTTAATGATAATTAACTGTCTATAAATAATAGTGCTATGTATATAAAGTTGTAATAACTTACTTGAAACTTCCAATCTTTTCATGCCACGCCCAAATGGTAAATAAATTCTTCCCATAAATACCATACACACAGTTACAATACCAATGTAAATTAAGAAATAGTAATTTACTGATATTATCAGTACCAGCGAACCCACGATGTAGTACACTGACTGAAACAATTATGTGAAAAGGTTAAAAATTTCAAATAAAAGCGAAAAGACCAACGTTATAGGTTATTAACAAAACATTTCAGAACAACAAACAGGATAACGCAGCTGGCGAGAGGTGAAATTTAAAATAAGAAAAGTGGATATCATTGAAGATATTATACAGAAATATGATTTTCCTACGACCACTTAGGAAAGTGACACATATCACACTATATAGTCCTATGGAAAGTGCCCAATATCACACGCGTATGAATAAGAATTTACTTTCCACCCGAGTGAGAATATGTTACTTTCCACAGTAGTTGTCATCTATGTAATGTCCATATTAATACTAAAATCGATATGATTGTTAAATTATTGAAATTGTTGTAAATTAGATCCTAGATATTTATCTTTAACAATTATTATTAAAATAATTTTAAAATAATGTTTGCTCTTTATTCTGTTTAAATACATAACCGATTAGATCATTCAATTAACACAAGGGCTATTAGCTCAGGTGGTTGGGACGTCGAACTTATCAACTTTGGCGGGGCAGATTTTTTTTTGTTTTTTTTTTATTTTTTTTTTTTAGTTTTTTTTGTTTAGAAAATATGAAAATTGAATAAATACGATTATTGTTGATTATTTTTTTAAATACTTTTTAATTATTATAGTAATATTAACCTTGGTTTTACATTTTTTTGATGACATTATTTTGTGGTCGTAGGAAAAATATTGTACATCACTTGTGTGAAAAGTGATTTTCCACACTCGTAATGTAACATACTATATTCATACAAGACAGAATAAAGTATAGGAAGAAATAATTGAATATAAGCTTTTCACGATAGAGAGAAGTAAAAACTAGTTTTTTTGTTAGTTTGCATTGCACCTAGCTATATTTCAGTTTTGATTTTCCATTCATCAACCACTATAATTTTCTATATTTAATACCCAACTCCTCCGGTTTTTCTTTGTGTTCTTTCCACTTAATTTTACATCTAGGTTCATACATAAATTAATAACATGAAACGAACATTTCAAACATAATAAAGGTCGCTTCACAACATTCTTCCCGTGTTAAAAATAATCCACTAGGTACTTAGGTCTAGAACGGGTTCTTTCAGAACGACGCAAATTTTGACATTGGTCTCCAGACATTTCGGATCATGTGGAAGTTTCGCAATGATGTGACGGTGGGATGATTCCGGGATGGTTGGCATTTCAGATAAAGCTAGGTCAACTTGCACTTGATGTTCCAAATCTGCATTGTTATCTTCACTACTACCTTAACTACATTTATCACTTCTTGGGTTGGGGCTAGATGTCTGTTTGAAATGGCAACTTCTCTGCCGTTTTATAGGCAAACCAGTGAGTAAAACGGATTGGGTTGAAACAGTTCAGCCTTATTCACTATGGGGTCATATTTACCTTGCCTAATGAAACGTTTCACTAATATGGGGTTAGGTTAAATCCACGATGGTACCGACTGACCATTTACAGATCTTCTGGGGTGTCAAAACACCCTTTCATGTGGTGTCTTATTTGTTGCCGTGCATAATAGCGACCCGATAGAATGTAAAGTTTGCTTCACTACGAGTTCCCAAAATTTCAAATCCCAATTCTTAGTTCTTATGGTAATTGAAAAGACTTAATTATGATTCCATTGTATCTTTTTGTTTGCCCGTTGCCTTTTGGATCATACGGTGTTGTAAAGGTCATAGCCTCTCCTCTCTTACTTAAGAATTGCTAAACTTCGCTTGATAAGAAAGAGGCCCTTCGGTTGGAGCTGGATAAACCGAAAACAGCGTAAAGATTAACCAAACATTTGATGACTGTTTTTGAACTTAAATCTGGGCAAGGGTATCTATGTAGAGAAAAATCATGAAAATTCATCTCTTATAGATCTCTTATAGATAACGATTATTTGTGTTCGTTGGTATACCCAGATATCACAAAACGTCCTAAGGACGTCCATTACATGTCCATTTATCGTCTGTACGTCCAGAACCCATTCTGAGTTTGTGGTCGATTAATATTAATTTTTTGCAGTTTGTACCATTTTTATCTCTGAGAAAGGTGCAAGTTTTTCAGTGAATACTACAAAGCTAAAAGGTTAGTGAATTTATAGTGTCTGGCAGGGCAAACTTAAACAAATAGATTGGATTTTAATATTGATCTGCCTTTCATTTTGAATAAGTGATTAAATTATTTTCAGGTTCAGCTGGAACGCAAATATGGCCAAATTAAAAAAAAAACTGACTACTGTCAATCCAGGCATGGTTGAAAAGAGCAAAGTAGAGGAGTTTTCCAGTAAATACTACAATTCATAATGTCTAGCAGGGCAAACTTAAAAAAACAGATTGGATTTTCATATTGATCTGCCTTTCATTTTGAATAAGCGAATAAATTATTTTCAGGTTCAGCTGAGAAGGCAAATATAGCCAAATAAAAAAAAAAAAAACTGCTGTCAATCCAGGTATGGTTGAAAAGAGCAAAGTAGAGGAGAATTTTAATTTTATTTATACATATAAAATTGTTTCTCCTGACTGACTGACCTATCAGCGTACAGCCAAAACTACTGAGCTTAGAAAGCTGAAATTTGGAACATACGTTTATTTTATAACATAAGCATCCGCTAAGAAAGGATTTTTGGAAATTTTAACTTTAAAGGGGGGAAATGGGAAGAAATGAGGAGAGGGAGCTTTTAATGAAACTCTTTGTTCTCTAAAGTTAGAAACATGAAAATTTGAATTACAGCTACTGAGCATAAATAAATAATGACGTGTTTCAGGGTTTTTCTTTTTTACATTTTAAGGGGGAAAACGGGGAGTAAAAGTTTGTAAGGGACTTTCGATTTTTTTTGTTTTCTATAAAGTCAGACACATGAAAATTGGAATTGCAGCTACTGACTGCAAATTATTAATGACGTGTTTTAGATTTTTTGGAGTTTCACGTTTTAAGGGGGGAAGTGGGGGGTGAAAATTTATTTAGGAGTATCCAAGTTTTTGGTTCTCTTTAAAGTTAAAACATGAAAATTGGAATTGCGAGTACAAATTAATAATGTGTTTTAGGGTTTTTATATTTTTATATCTTGAGGGGGGCAAACGGGGGTAAAAGTTTGTATGGGAGTATAACTTTTTTGTTCTCTTTGAAGTTAGAAACATGAAAATTGGAATTGCAGCTAATGAGTACAAATTAATAATGACGTGTTTTAGGGTTTTTGGATTTTCACATTTTAAGGGGGGGAAACGGGACATGAAAGTTTGTTTGGAAATATCGATTTTTTTAAAGGAAGGAACTTAAAAATTGGAATTGTAGGTTCTCATCATAAATAAATAATGAAGTGTTTCATGGTTTTTGGATTTTCACATTTTAAGGGGAGAAAACGGGGGTAAAAATTAATAAAAAATTATTAAAAATTAATAAAAATTATTAAAAATTAATAAAAATTAATAAAAAATAAAAAAAAATTAAAAAAAATTAATAAAAATTAATCAAAATTAATAAAAATTAATAAAATTTAATAAAATTTAATAAAAATTATTAAAAATTATTAAAAATTAATAAAAATTAATAAAAATTAATAAAAATTAATAAAAATTAATAAAAATTAATAAAAATTAATAAACATTAATAAAAATTAATAAAAATTAATAAAAATTAATAAAAATTAATAAAAATTAATAAAAATTAATAAAAATTAATAAAAATTAATAAAAATTAATAAAAATTAATAAAAATTAATAAAAATTAATAAAAATTAATAAAAATTAATAAAAATTAATAAAAATTAATAAAAATTAATAAAAATTAATAAAAATTAATAAAAATTAATAAAAATTAATAAAAATTAATAAAAATTAATAAAAATTAATAAAACTTAATAAAAATTAATAAAAATTAATAAAAATTAATAAAAATAAAAATTAATAAAAATTAATAAAAATTAATAAAAATCAATAAAAATTAATAAAAATTAATAAGAAATAATAAAAATTAATAAAAATTATTAAAAATTATTAAAAATTAATAAAAATTAATAAAAATTAATAAAAATTAATAAAAATTAATAAAAATTAATAAAAATTAATAAAAATTAATAAAAATTAATAAAAATTAATAAAAATTAATAAAAATTAATAAAAATTAATAAAAATTAATAAAAATTAATAAAAATTAATAAAAATTAATAAAAATTAATAAAAATTAATAAAAATTAATAAAAATTAATAAAAACTAATAAAAATTAATAAAAATTAATATAAATTAATAAAAATAAATAAAAATTAATAAAAATGAATAAAAATTAATAAAAATTATTAAAAATTAATAAAAATTAATAAAAATTAATAAAAATTAATAAAAATTAATAAAAATTAATAAAAAATAATAAAAATTAATAAAAATTAATAAAAATTAATAAAAATTATTAAAAATTAATAAAAATTAATAAAAATTAATAAAAAATAATAAAAATTAATAAAAATTAATAAAAATTAATAAAAATTAATAAAAATTAATAAAATTTAATAAAAATTAATAAAAATTAATAAAAATTAATAAAAATTAATAAAAATTAATAAAAATTAATGAAAATTAATAAAAATTAATAAAAATTATTAAAAATTAATAAAAATTAATAAAAATTAATAAAAATTAATAAAAATTAATAAAAATTAATAAAAATTAATAAAAATTAATAAAAATTAATAAAAATTAATAAAAATTAATAAAAATTAATAAAAATTAATAAAAATTAATAAAAATTAATAAAAATTAATAAAAATTAATAAAAATTAATAAAAATTAATAAAAATTAATAAAAATTAATAAAAATTAATAAAAATTAATAAAAATTAATAAAAATTAATAAAAATTAATAAAAATTAATAAAAATTAATAAAAATTAATAAAAATTAATAAAAATTAATAAAAATTAATAAAAATTAATAAAAATTAATAAAAATTAATAAAAATTAATAAAAATTAATAAAAATTATTAAAAATTAATAAAA